AGCCGTGTGCGTCTGTGTGTGTTGTGCACATGTCTACCAGTCTATTTATCGATCCATCAGACCGCCATCAGACCGTTTTGTCTGTCCCGCAGCAGGGGCAAGAATACTGAGACTGAGAGACGAGAACAATGACGATCGTGGTTAGTTCGAACTCACCAGGGAAAGGTGGGACTAATAACTCTACCCCGATGTTGGTTTATTATACATATACACTTCGCTTGTCAGGACAGAAAAAATAGCGAGTGGAATATTTTAACCATAAATTAACCTGATACATCCAGCTCGGGATGTATTACTAACCATCGAATTTACCAAACTGCCAACTCCAATAATGCACAAGCTTTCAGACATTGAAAGAAAATGGATTCCATGGTTATCGTTGTGGTAGACGGAGAAAATTATTGACAATAAGATAGTGAAATATGAAACGAATAGACACGTTTAGTCTCCAGTTGCCGAAACACATTTTGTTCAACCAAAAATACTGGCCTACACAAAATGCATATGCACACGTATAGTGGAGACTATCGGAGCGGTTGCACGACATAATTTGATCACGATGTAACGAAGGTGAATGTTTTCAGGAAACATTTGATTCGCGAATGTTAATGAGGCTTTTCATAGGACACTTCCACCAGGGTGTCTAAATAAATAAAAGCTACCACAAGCCTGTACCAAACAGTGGGTTTTTACGGTCCAGGAAAACGATGGAACAAGATGGACCATAAAATGTACAAATAAATCAGCCAATCATTGGTCGTTTCGCGAGAAAGCACGGTGGTAGTCAGGTGACATAAGATTCGAGGCGAGGAGAGGTGGAATATGTCCTCGATGCACCTTGAAAGATCAAGATTACCGCTACAGCGATGAGCATACGTCACTACCTGATACCAAACTGACCTCACAGGGGCAAAATCCGATGAACGAAAATCGCATACGGAATGAATGTCTCAGAAACGGCAAGCGAAGTAGGCAGACCAGTAATGGAACAGGAAACAAGGGAAGGAAAGGGTACCGTGAAGGATCAGTTTCGTACAGTATTTACTATTATTGACAACGCATTTTGGTTGTTGTCCCTTTACCTGTATGAATGAAGGGATCGAAAAGAGGGGAATGGGGAAAGTAGTTTGAACCAGAGAATAGAGAAGCTATAAAGACTAAGGTTGCAAGAATATTGAGTAGATGCACGAGCCCCACTGGTCATGACATTCAGCCGTTTCCGTCCGTATCCCTAACCACCGATTACGATGACCCCGGGGTCTCCATCTAGGAAGCCCAACGAGATTTTGGTCAGGGTTTTCATACCGGCACGCCAAGTCCTTCCTTGATTTCTCTCAACGAACTACTTGCCTCGACAACCTATTTGGTAACATGCTTAGCACATGCATCAACCAACATAACCGTAAAAGTTGAGCATTCGGTCCAGCAAGTGCCCACAACTACGTAACACTTTGCGTTTAACTTCAGCATTACTTGTCCGGTTACCCCACGAGATTTGTGTCCGAAAACCGACAGTTTATTTTCATCTTCTTTCATAATGGTCAAGTTTCCGTAAAGTATGCAGACGACATGTGCTACTAAGTGAAGATCCAGATAAGTCATAAGCTTTTCTGAGTGCTAGCGTAACCAGGTTCGGCATGTATTTTGCACCTTCAAAGTGTGAAATGTTACTTAGGTACCTGGGTTGGTCCANCGCGCATAAAGAAGGCTCGGTTAGCATTTGCCAACTTGAGACATCTATGGCGCCGTGGCGACATCCGGGTGTCTGTGAAGGGTCGAATGTATGCTGCGGTAGTTCGACCAGCTCTCCTATACGGAGCAGAAACGTGACCATTAGGAAAATAGAGTAAAGATAGACTGCGGGTGTTTTAGCACCGCTGTCTACGCAGCATTACATGAATCTGGTGGGACAGCCGGACGAGCAATGCTGAGGTTAGGCGCAGATATTCAGGCAAAGGCGGTCGCCAACTGGAGCAAAGGGTCGACCTCCATAGACTACGTTGGTTGGGGCATCTGTTACGCAGGTTACGAGATAGATTGTCACAGCGAGCGATGTTTTCCGAGGCAGGTAGTGGATGNAAGCGTCTCGAATAGCCTCTACTGAGGAAACCCTACTCGCTGTCTTCTCGTGACGGAGGTATTTTCCCACCAAAGTGAGAGGACCAAAAGCCGACAACCGGGGCTATAACCCGATTGGTGGACCACTGGTAGTTCACCTAGGGGAGTTTGCTAAACACCCTGATTTCAAACCAATCTAGAGGAGGCGTACGAACCACACACTCCCCCGGTTGTGGCAGTGGTCACCGGCTCGATTGGGCATCTTGGACGTTTGACCCCGTCAGAAGGGCGTATGATCTGATGAACTGAGCACCGGCTCCCAATAGACTGTGATTTTCGCACACCACCCCGCTGCCTTGCGGATCAGGCTTTGGCTAGCTGAAGGCTCCGATGAATTCCTCAAGAAAATTCACCTGCCTTGGCCTGGACAACCTGGCAGTATTCCGCCCACAAGCCAATCATGGAACGTTCTTCTTTTTCATAAAGATTATTGTACAATGATTTGCCTGGCACATGGTCTGTCCTCAAACAAGTGTGAAATATATATAAGCTAAGACCTGGCATGAGGGTATGAAAACCCTAACCAGGAGTCTGGGTCACATAGATCCCGTTAGGCTCCTTGGATGGGGACTTCGGGATGATCGTAATCGATGGTTAGAGACACTGGGTGATCTGGCTGTGTCGAAAACAGTGGCGTTCTTGCATCTGGTCAATTTCTCTGCAGCATTCGTTCAATGAAATTCTAAATTTTCTCCTTGATCCCTCTTCAGTCTTCCTTGTTTTGCCCCTCATGTTCATCCAAAAGACAGCAACCAAAACCGGCGCACGATTGTGCATGGTTATTGGTTGTACAAAAAGGAATGAACTGAAGTTTCTGGGCCTCAAAGCAGCAGACACCGAACTGCCGTAACACAAACTCGACCCTGCACGAGCAGCGACGACACCACAGATGTGCTAAGGAGGTAAATGCCAATCGAGCCCTCTCTATGCGTGCCGAGACTTTATCTGCGATGAGTCCGTCCGGTGAGATATAGCTGCAAAAATAGTGAAATTTGTCTACTTCCGCATGTAAATTGAGGTAGGAGGCTAGATCAACCAACATTTTACACTTTCAATATGCAAAACGTCTGCCGAACATGAACAAACTAGCAAAAAAACTATACAGAAACGTTACAATTGACCTGGGCCTTCACTTAGTAGTACAAGATAATCTGCATACTCCCGATCAGACAGTATGCCACCTGGGAGCAATTTTATCGCGCCACCTTCGCACGAGGAAAGGACTGCTTCCAGATTCAAATCTATAGCGAAGTTGAACAGAAAAGGAGCAACTCCGACAAACACCGCTTTCTGTGGTGAATTCGGACGAAAAAGTGCCGTAAATTGGAATTCGGCTTCGGTTATTAGTGTAGCTCATAAAATTTGAAGTAACTTCTCGGGCATATCTTTCCAAGAGAGCGCCAGAGGTAACAGCGACTGACCGAGTCGAATACAGCTTTCAGATTGGGGAAGACAGAAACGGTGAGTCTGTGAAAGGATTGCATGTGCTCCATAATTTGACGACGGGTGAAAATGTGGTCGATACCATCTTCGACCGGATCTAAAACCAGCTCCATCCTCCCGCATGCACCTGCAGCAGACAACGGGAAATTTGGAGACAACGTTGATAGAAGACTAATTTCTGCGGATTCCACACGAGAATCTGTCGTTTTTCTTGTAAATCGATAATGACCTACACAGATCATTCAGTTGCAACCTACTCCCTCCCTAAAAATGAACTGAGGAGATTCGTCAACTCCAGGACCAGGGCTACAAATCCATCCCTAACAGCTGGTAGAGACAGTGGATTCGGGTCGGAAGTCATATAAATTCCGAGATAACTTAATTTTTGCGTAACCTTCATCTCACACCAACAATCCAACCATGGACCTGCACATTCATGGTGTTGCTTTCGTTCTGCTTCTGCATTTTTCTTTCAATCCATGATTATTTTAGTATTATACCTGTAAACGCTGGTGTTAAGTATTACATTACTGATTGGAGCTGACAATATTGATTTAGTTGAAGCAAGAATCGGAAGGCCTGAATTCGAAGGGGTAGAGGGTAGTTGAACTATCCCTTAAACTATCATGCCCATCGCTCAAGATGGAGTTGCTGAATATTCATTAGTGTGCACTTCGAAAGACAGATGTAGTGAACTGCGCGATGCTTGAGTCATATAAATTATCACCCCATTGTCTCGTGGTTTGTGTCAAACGCAGTAAGCACCGCCCGACATTCCGGTCGATTGATCTGTCTCAATAAAATCTGTTTGGCGATGGTTTTCTTGGACATCTTTGTAGATTTGTCGCATAGCAAAACAAGTCGAGATGAAAACCTTCTGTTCTCTTAAAGAAAATCACATCTCGGTGATGAGCAACATGCCGGAAGAATAGTAACTAGCTTGACAAGTTGGCAGAACTTCTGGAGCTACATACAAAACCAGTCCGTGGGTAATAAACGGGAACGATGGAAGATATATATTCGAAGACGACACCTGAACAAAGGTAAATTGGCAATTTGATTCAGCCCTAGCATGAGCTGGTTGGCATAGTATTAACAGACACGCTTTCAATGTGATGTTTCCGAAGTTCAAACCCCGGACGGGACGGGGGAAATGCGCTACTAATGAGTTCTAGTAAGAGAGAAACTCGAATCTAGTGCTTCCCCGAGTGTATGGTTGACTGGAAAAGCTGAGGAATGTGCGTGAAGTGGTGAAGTCCGAAAGATAGTCAGTTCTAGTCAATCCATGTTCAAAGTTCCTGGTTCAAAATTGCTCATCTTACTCCGTTCAAGGGTAAAAACAACTAGTAGCAGCGATCGTGCAACTAATGAGATGAATGGAATGATGGTTCGTTGTGTACAGAGAAACCGGAGTAGAATCATTCACCTTGTCAAATAACCTTGAGGATGAAAAGTTTCCACCGTATCGGGTTGGAGTACGATTGGTCTGCGATTTTTTAGCACGGCCCACATAACGAGCATTTCCGTTCCCGGTGACCAAATTTCGCAGCACCGCAGGTGGACTGGATAAATGAAACGACAAGTGATCGGCTTCACTCAGCGCTTTTGTCGGTGTTTGGACAAGAAACATTTCGTCCACAATAATCCCCGTGGTCACACCGGTTGCCGAACTCAGAGGGTTGAGTAGGGATGAGGATGCTGAGGAGGAGGACGATTTTGTCCTCCAAACAGACGCTTTCCCGTCTTCCTTGGGCGAGGTTTTGACTAGTGGGGAATGGGGTGATCGCAGAACAAGCCGTTGAGACCACGGAGTAGTGAATTTCAGTTTGTATGTTGGGCGGTGTTTTCGGATGACCGAGGATAATGTATTCGGTTTTCTTAGCAAGGGTCGCGAGCTAGAAAAATGAAGATAGAGATGGTGAAAAAAAATCAGTCAGTCCCATGAACAAAACTTTAGGTGATCAATTCAATGCAAAATAGACAGTTACAGTAAAAAGCATTAAGTATCAGCAATTTGAGAATTCCCGTGGTAGTAGTTTCGTGAGATACTACTCACTTGTTAGTAATAGGTGACATAGTTGGTGATTTATTTCAACGATAAAAACAAGATCACTGAGGGCAATTTGCTGGGTCTCAAAGAATAACTACCGATTGCTACATTCATTACCCGTTC